AGAACTTCTTGACCTTTTCAGTGGAAAATACAAAACCCAACAGAGTGAAGTCTACTGGCAAATAGGTTTGCTTTGTTTAATTATGTTCCATGAATAAATAGCTTGTTTCTGCAGATTACCAGCAGTCTATATATCACAGGCTGAAAGGCAATGTTAGCTAAAGAATTGCAGCAGTAAAATTCACAAACACAAATTCATATAAACACTTGAGAAAAACCTTTGTTTTCCTCAAATGAGCTTGTAAATCACACAGATTCATTGGTTTGCATGTCTATAAGAAAAAAAATAATTAAAAAGGATCATAAATACCAAAGCAAGTTTGAGATTTTAATGCACAGATGTCTGAAAGCTCCAATGTCTTTTTGCAGTGTTTTCCTACTGTAGATAAGAAAATCTATTTTTTCCCTTGAAATTCTTTGTTTCAGTAATGAAAGCAATGGATGTTTGCTTGAGGCATCTATTTACCATTCCAACCACAAAAATAAAATTGGTATTGATAATTTTATGCAGACCTTATCCCTGCAACTTTCTCAGCTGTTGTGTTCTGTACTTCTGTTCAGCTCTTTGGAGAGCTCATTCTGCTCGAGAGAGGCATGGTGCCTAATGAGAAGATGCTTGGCTTCCATGAATCGAACATTAGAGCCATATTCACATAGCTGAAGGTACAGTCCTTGAACTCTATCGGGACCAAAGCAGAATAAACAGATGGCAGAAGACTCGTGACAGGGAGCTGACATACTCAGGGACAGGGAGAGCTGCACTGTGGAACTGTGGAAGAAAAAAGTTCAGTGGGCTGGGAATCACCCCTTCTTTCTCTAGCTGCTCTGAGGAGCTGTCACTCATGATCTCCTCCACCGGCTATTTCATGGCACATGGGTGGCTGCTCTCCTATCTTGCACTAACATAATTTCATGCTACGTATTTCAATTACTCCCTGCATAAAAATAGTACACATGTATAATTCAGGCTGTGATCCAAAAGTCCACCCCCTTCCTGACAGGAGGGATTAATCTTGGAGAATACCTCATACTTTCAGACAATTTCACTCCCTTCTCACATTTCCCTCAAGTTCTCCCCCTTCGTTTACCCCCTCCCACACACGTGATGTCGAGAGAAGGAAAAACAGATAGGAAGGAGGGCAAGATTCCCATGTATCAGCTCAGGGAATGACAGGGAGCCAGATCTTCTCCCACGCTGACTGGCACACGGCAGCTCCAAGGGAACACAGTCTGCCAGCTAAAGGGCATGGCCAGCCCCTTCTCTCAGCTGCCATCTGCAGCACCTACCGGCTGGAGGTGCACACTGCTCAGTCCTGCGGGAACCGGGTACACCACCATTTATCTCTGCTGAGATCATCATCTTCCATTCTCCAGAGTTTATCGTGGCATGATTTTGCCCTGATGCTTCAGAGTCCAGAAGCCCAAAGCCAAAGCAGAGGTTACAGTGTCTGTGGCTCAGGGTGCCTCTGGCAGAGCTGGAACGCTGGTAGCCAAGGCACGATGGCTTTTGCCACAGGACTCGCTGAGTCCTGCCTCTTCTTCCTTTTGTACTATCTGCTCTTTTCATGAACCTGAGCTAGGGACACCTTCATTACAGCTCAGCCCTACAGCCCTGTAAGACACAGATGAGAAAAACCACATTGGACCACGGAAAACTGATCCAGAACATCTCCAAGGGCTTGCTTCTATCGCAGTGAATGGAAGTACAGCGTAATTTCAAGGCTGTTCTGCAAAACAGATTACAAGTAGATGGGCTAATCAAGCTTTTTTACATTGTATTTAGTCTGAATTTTAAGTTTTGGCAAGGCAAAAGTTAACATATCCTCTGGGTATGAACAAATTCCTATGAGTCTTTTGTAACATATATGGAAAGAGTAGTTAAAACCCAGTTTACAATGCATCTCAGAAACTGCCATTCTGGGTTACTACATAAAACTCTGAAAATTAACCAACTGAAAAAATAAAATTACCATAAACAAAGAAAAAGTGTTATGTTTCCTGTCCAAATGGAGCACTACTGCAAAAAGGAAAAATAAAGTGGATATTTAAAAATTCTCAGATTTCACCCTCATAGATGACTTCCATAAAATAGGAAAGATAAATTAACTAAAAAAAAAGTAGAGACTTTCAGATTCTGAGAAGAGTGCCTGAGGATTTGGTAGCCTGAATCAGAGCACAATTTCTATTTGGATATCACTGGTCCGAGTTACTGGGCACTAATGAAACCTCAAATGCACCCGTCTCCAAGCAGTGGAAAACTTGGTTTATTCAGTGCTGACCACATTCTTGCCTTATTTCTATGGTTTCTGACCCTTCATTGCAATCGCACTGCAGAGTCTACACATGAATGACAACTACAGGCAAAATGATAAGGGATGAATTCAGGGACTGAAAAATAGAGAACTTCCATTACCACCTAAACACAGTCACACTCTCTACCTCAGCAGGCAGAATATACAGCAAACCAGTGAAACATCATTTTGACATGTTATAAATCTGGAATTGATGGGAATTTTGTCATTTACCTCACAGAGAACAGGCTCATAACCTTGATGTGAATAATTCCCACCACTGCAAATCTTATTTATTTTTATAAATGTTGCTCAGTTCATTGAGATTGCTGAAATGCAACAAATGGCACAAGATCTCTTTTTACCTTGAATATTCCTGCCAGTAGATTTGTTCCTCCTGTTTCCCCTTGTGTGTAGGCTACGTGATATACGACAGGATATGGCTGAGATTGTAAACAGTTTCATTCTAAGCAGGTGTATTATCTCAGAGTAAATTTTCTATCCAAATGCATACGCTATTAGCAGCTTCTTTAAGAGAATGGTTCATTTATGCATGAACTAAGTGCCATGCTTTGCATACAGAGCTCAGGATGCATCCCCAAAACACTGCATTTCACCAGCCTGTGGGAATGCCACATGGAAGGATTTCTTTTGATTTGTAGTTTGTTTGTTTTGCTACTTTTTCAACAGGGTATAAGTAGAAACAGTTGTATAGACAGCCAGAAAGTGCTACTGAAATCAGTGTACCAAACACAAACTAAGTTTAATAAAAATCTCCACCAGTTAAAAAAAAAGAAAAAGGAATTAAAACCATTTTAGGGTGATCCAGCCAGTCAGTGATAGCACAACCACATGGCTGCAAAGTCCAGATTCAACTCTCAATATCTTCAAGCCAGCATGGACTGGGACCCTACATGCCCACCTGTAGCAAGGACATGCTATCTGCTGTCCTTGTTTAGACTCCTTCCGTGTGAGGGAAGGCACAACACTGCTACTTCCAGCAGACCTGCAGCAGCAGCCAGAGCAGAGCTCTGGGCAGATAACCACACTTCCAGCCAATTCTGACATGAGGATGTCTCATGAGCACCTACCCTACTGGGCTGAAGGAAGAACATTGAGGGTTTTCTAGTGTGCTGTTAAAAGCAACACAGTATGAAGTATAAGATCATTCAAAGGAGGAAAAGGGCATGGTAAGTCAGTTTTTTTCCTGTACGTCTACAGTGAAGATGTAGTGTCTTCAATGCCAACAGAAAAGTACATTCACTTTGAAAACTCTGGCTTTGAACATCTCTCTCTGAAGATGGTGGGAAAGTAAGTGCCAAATAACGACAACCTAAAACCCCATGAAAGCACTCAACTCGAGAGTTTCTCTTTGATTCATCACTCCAGGTTCTTCAGGTGGCTGCACACAAGGGATGTGCAAACAACAAATCCGAGCACAATGCATTGCATCTGGAAGCACATACAGCAATGCCAGTCCTTCCGCAGCAAAACTCTGGAGGTATTTCAAAAGGTACAAGCTTTCCTCTGGAATACATCCACAGGTTAAGAGCAAGCACACTGGAATAGCAGTGGCTTTTATATGTTGCACATAGTGTACCACTCACACTTAGGTAATACTTTAGAATTACTTAAGAAGAACTTTTAGAATTTCATATTTGTTATAGAATTAAGCCACCTGAAACACATGAAGCAAATAAAGGCAGGGCAGTAGCTCTTCAAAAGCAGGTCTAGGTGGGGGATACTCCCCTATCACAAGGAAGGCTTCTGCAGTGGCCACAGGAGCAGAAATAGCAGCCGGGAATAGACTATGAGAGACTCGAGGTACGGATTAATGAGGGCTTTATTTTGTCTGGAGTTTTGTAAATGTGATTGCTTTGCTTGCAGCTAGAATACTTGTATTTAGCCTTGTGTTCCAGGTGCCTTTGTAGTGTTCAAACTCTAAGCTCCTGTTGCAGCAAGCATTTCCTAATTAAAAAGGAGGAAAGGGAAATATAGAGGGAACTGTAGCCACAGCTTAGGGATGCGTTACCTGAGCCGCTCACCAGTGATTTAGTATTGAGAAACCGTGAATCCACAGTTTCTCCGGGGAAATAGTTCCAACATTTTTCAGAGATCTCCTTAGGAAACGCGGGAAGGTGGGCTCTGAAAGCTCACCTTAGCTGGCGAGCGATGCGGTCACTACGAGCCTTGGTCCACTCTGACTAAAATCACAGTTCGCGAGAGCCCGAACAGCCGAAGCCCTTCTCCTAAAGCGCACAATTCCCCGCCTGGTGAGAACGGAGCGGCCGGAACGCGCGGGGGATGCTCAGCCCCCGGGGTCGGGGAATTCATTTCCCCTGCCTCGCAGAGTCCCGGAGCGCTGCCCTGCGGGCGAGAACGGAGCGGGGTCGGGCGGGTGCCCCAGCCCCGGTCCCCGACTGCCGTCGGGGAGAAGCCCGACCCTCGCGGCCGCGGCTCCCCGAGGACCCCGCAGGGCGCTGCCCCGGCCCTCGACGCAAAACTTTCCGCCGGGGCGCAGAGACTCGCTGCCTGTTTGCCTGCCTGCCTGCCTGCCTGCCTGCCTCCATCCATCCATCCCTTCCCGCGACGCCGTCGGGGAAAGTTGCCGGCGCGGCGGGGTCCGGCACCGGGCGAAGCAGTGGCAGGTGGGGAGAGGGACCCCCTGCCCCGGCCGCCCTCCCTCCGTTCCTCCCGCCGCGCTCCTTACCCAGCCCCGGCACGAAGGTGTTGAGGAAGAGGCAGATGACAGCCACGGGGAACGGCATGTAGGGGATGGCGGCGCGCAGGGGGCCCTTCTTCTCCCGGACCTGCACCACCACCCCGCTGGAAGGGGCCGCGCCGCCCCGGCTGGGCTCCGCGGCCGCCGCGCTCTCGCCGTCCTTGGGCGAGGGATCCATGGCCGGCGCGGCGGAGCCCGGCGGGATCACAGCTCCCGCCGCCCAGCGCGCTCCCGCCGCCGCCGCGCGGCCCCGCCTGCGCGCCCCCCCCGCGCGGACCCCTCCCCTCTCTCCTCCCGCCCCTCGCTGGGATGGATCCCGGGAGCGTTCCGATCCGCGCTCCTTCACGGATCGCTTCCCGAGGAGCGGGAGGCTGGAGCTGCGCGCCCCTCGCCAGGCTGCGGATCGCCCTGTCCCGCCTGGGCAGTGAGGAGAGAGGGCAAGGAGCTGTCCCGTTCTCCCTCTGGGAAGGGAAAGAGAGAGCTCCGTGTTAGGGAGCGCAGGAGCGGTGTGAAATAACGCCTCGTGCGCTTTTTAAAAATAGAAGGTGTGAGAAAAGGTGTAAATTAAACCCGCACGTTTATTGTTTAGAAATCCCTGTGGTAAGGAGGAAAGGGGAGGAGAGCCACAAGAATTGGAAGGTAAAGGAAAATACATCCCTGGAGAGCTAATCGCAGCTTGGGACGGTGTGAAAATCTATCTTAATTCCCCGGCACCACGATGGAAAACAGGCCTTTGTAGAGCTGGTAATTATTGGTCAGTTCACAGGCTGAAATGGTAACAGAACTGGAGCTTGTCTGTAGCTAAAAAAGATGACGAGGCTGGTCATTGCAGATACGGTTCAGCAGAGAAAATAGGAAAAATATTAAAGGCATTAATCTCGATATAAAATGTAAGTGTGACACGTATACAGGGTCTTTGCATGAGAGAGAGGATAGTCTATGTCTTATTGCGCATTTTGAAGCTGTGGTTTTGCTGAGGAATTCCTGCTAGGAATTTCGATTCCAAAGGAAATCTTGAACTACTTCATCTATGCCACTGGGATGCCACCTGGCATATACATGATTCAACAGTTTAATAGATTCCAATACAAATTAGTACAAAGAAAAAATTAGGTGAACTAAATGACAGAGATCCAGAATCCTCTTTCTAGATTACATTTTTTTATTTTTCTATTGACTGGGTTTTGAACCATAAAAACAAAGACACCCCATGTAAAAATCTCATATTTTTAACAACAAGTTTTCTTTGCTTATTGTCGGACTGCCTTTTTTCCAAAAAAATCTTCTGACTTTTTTGATTAACCACACAGTTTAGACATGTTCCCAGAGCATGTTAACCAACCTGTTTTTTTTTTCTTGGTGTTTTTTTTATTTATGGTGACATTTATTTCTACCAAAATAGTTCATGACAGCCTATTATATCCCCTAGACACAAAGCTATGGGAGGGCTGCACCTTTCTCTTGGTAAGATCTGATGTAACTGTTATGAAGTCTAACCTTCTGTGCTGTTGGATCAAACCACAGTCAGATGAGAAATCTGTGGTATGAATATGGGCTAATTAGAGCCTGTACAAAGCAGAATCCACAGTTGGAACACTATCCAATAATTTGTAGTGATATCATTCTCCATAGGTTCTCAAAATCATGTGTGGGTGAGCCCACATTACCTACAGTAAAAGCAAGCAAAAGGCCATTGTGAGAGTAGCCCAAATAGAAGATCAAAGACTAAGATTAATTAAAACAATATTTTGTCAGAAATGCTTAATAACAGGTTGTGCTTTTATGGAACATTTCCTTGGAATATCTCAAAGCATTTGACAAATGTGACTTAATTCATTTGCTTCTTTAAGATTAGCTGGCAACATGTGAGTCTTCCTCTACCCACTATTAAAGTGCAACCGCTTCTAGACTGAACCGCATCATTAATTCTGCCCTGCCAGTGCTCATGGAAGTTCTCAGGCGCCTAAGGCAAAAGTTATGACTGCCTCAGAGTATATTAAGGATACTATCATGTAACAAGTTGTGACATTTCCAAGCTTTTCTTAAACAAGCGAATTGGTGGCAATGTTACTCTGCTTAGATTGTTCCACACTCCCCAAGCAGTGCATGACAGACATGGAAACCATCTCCTGCGCTGCATGCTTCACTGTGACTGAGGAGACAGGACTCTATGTGCTGGGGAGTTTAAATGGGGAAAGACAATCATTAATGAAAGGTGTGCTGGGACCTAGGCAAAAAATGTGACCCAGGGCTGACTATTTTTTTTTAATGAAAATAAGGTTATCATTTATAAAAAGCAGTATGAGTATTTATAAAAAGGTATGAGTATTTATAAAAATGTATGAGTATTAAGAAAACTCATATTTCTTCAGATTTGATCTTTAACATTTTCATTTCACTTCTCAGCATGAAAACAGCTCACAGAACTGATATACATTATTTGTCTGCGGAGGCAAAAAAATGGTTTAAAAAAAGACAAACTCAAAAAATCTATAAACAAAACAAACCTGAATCCAAAGTGCAGTTTCAGAACATGGAACTCCCAGGGCACACCGGTATAGCATGTATTGACCCATAAGAGTGGGGACACGTCCTCCTCCAGACTTCTCTCTGGAGAAGTACTTCAGGACACAAGTGCTGTAAAACTGAAGGCAACAGTTGCTGCTGTACCCCAAGGGCAGGCACTTGAGAAGATGAGATCCCTTAATCTCCTGGATGCCTGGGGAAAGAGTAGCTAGTGTTGGCCCAGGTAGCAAAAAGACTGCAGGACCTCCTGCAGGTGGGTGAGCCTTCTACAGTCTTGTAGCTCTTAAACCCAGAGGAGTCTGGCCTCTGGCTTCCTCCAGTCTTGCAAAGAGTACCTGTAGTTTCCAGGTCCTTGATAAGCAAGCATCAACAGAGAACCTGTTTGTCAAATAGTCCTGTCTTGATGCTGTCAAGACTTAAGATGGACTTTCTGATTGACAGAAGCTGGTGGTCTTACTGTGGAGCCCTTGTGGTTGGTTACACTGCATGTGGATGTTGCTGTGGGAAGTAGATGCTGGACTTCCATATGAGTCAGGCCTGCAATGTGTGGCTCATGGCCACCAAACCACCCAGTCAGAGGAGGCTAATCTCCCAGCTGAGAGCAGAAGGTATTTGTTATGGTCACTAGCTGACTTTCAAGGAGCTGTGATATGAGATTGTATAGTGGGAGTCTCACCCTTTGTTGGGTTTCCACAGTGGATAACGAAGCTGTATTTCAAAGATTTTGCAGGTATGAACACTTTGAGTTATACACTAAAGTGTAAGGGAAGTGTTGGCAGGTCAAAGAGAACTTTAGATCAGCTGGTTGTGTGAGTTTGCCCTACAGTTGTTTTCTTCTTTCCCTGCTGGTTCTAGTATTTGAGTTGTTTTTATGCAGTCAATGGAGAATTAGAAATCCTGCAAAAGGAAGGGATGGTGCTTCCCTGTTACAGTGCTCTGAGGACTGGGCACACCACAGTTTGCCTCTGACTTTGGAAAGGGGAAAAAATCTGCAAACTGAATACCAGTGACATACCTCCAGTAACCAGGGGTTCATCTATTTTAAATAAACCCCACTCCCAAGCTTGGGTCCTTTCCAAAAGAGTCTTAAGTATCCTACAAGTATGTTAAGAGAAATACAAAAATAGATGCAAACATAAATCACTAGCAGTGTTATTAACAGAGACAATAAGGAGCCAAGCAGAGCTACTGCTCACTAACAATTCCTGGGGGACAGGAGGAGCCCTGCAGTCTGCACTCCAGTACACCAGTGTAAATCCAGCATGGCTCCATGTATCGTGACTGAAAGCAGAGCTTGGTTCAAGGAGTACAGCTTTCTCCTAGCAGAAAAGATCAATTAATTCTGTTCATGTGCAGGAGACTAGAGTTATTGGACCGCTGGTGTCTGTTATTAGAAAATCCATCGTATCACCTGAAATTGGGGCAGGACTAAGCCCCGTCTCTTCACAGAGACAAATGCAGCTCTGTGCAGAGGAATGGCTTATTTGTTAAGTGCCACTTGTGGCCCATGTCAGAATAGAGTCTTGGGACGGTCATGGCACTGAGACCTCATAAATTGTTTTCGTCTGATAAATGTCAGACAGTCACATGAGATTGGGTTTGACTCAGTGAGCTTTTTCTGGTGCAAATGAGAGCTACACTTATTGCTGGTACGGTACGTGGGTATATCCTGACCACACAAGACTCCAGACTAGTTTTATTACAGACTTAAAAAAAGAAAAGCATTATTTGTGTCCAGTCTGGTGGAAATCCTGCATTGATTTCAGTGGGAGCAATAGTAGCCTCATATTTATTAATTCATTTTCTGCTACATGAGTTTATGAAAAAACAAACAGGAAATCCTTTTCTTCCCATAAATTTCTATTTGATTAAGACTGTTAATGGTGGTATTTACAGCTGCACTCTGCTATGTCTTGAGAGTATGTGATGCTGTGAAGATCACTAAGAAATGCTTAGGACTCCAGGACAAATCTGTTCCCCTGGCTTCTGCTTTCCTTTCCAGGCTTTAGTTACAGCATCCCTTCATCTTTACAGCCTGGGCACAACAAATTGCAGTTATTTCTAGGAAACATGAGGATCTCATCATGATGGTCTGCATGTTTTAATGCATGTAGCTGGTTTTCTTTGTTCCTGACTCAGTGTTCATGCAGTTGTTCTTCTTCCAAACAGCGTTGGACTGCTATGTATTGACCCCATGTGTCTGTGCCTGGCTCTGTAATATCCCCTAACCTTGCCCAGTGTGAATTGTATAGCTCAGAGAGGGAAAACCCACAGTAAGTAAATTCTCCCAACACAGAAACTGGGAGAAGATAGTCAGGAAAATCTGTCCTTATCATAACAATGAGCAGATAGGTGAGGAGAGAGAGCAGGCACTAGAGAAACTCAGACACTCTGTGGTGGCCCAAAGCAATTCTGCAAGCCCAAACTTTTTTTTCCCACCCCTCTTTTGAGTCATGCACACTTGGCCAAAAAATAGAGTGGATACCCCAGTCTCATAATGGCTGCAACTCCCTGTGTAAGGAGCCCAGACAAAACTGCATGCATTAAATATACAGTGATTCTGCATGTGGTTATCCTCTACTGTGTATCACTTTTGAAGCCCAGTGCCAACCACGAGGGCTCCTCCCACATAAGCACATCAGACCTGTCTAGTTCTGTCTTGTTATGGAAAATGCCTTCTGACAGCAAGTTAGATGTTGGTTGTCT